GAGGCTGCTTTTATCTAGGCTACCCACACAGAGGCTGCTTTCATCATCATCAGCCATATATCTGAAAAATGCAAGCCATATTTAAGTGTGCAAGCCTCTTTAAACCCAAGTCACCTTCTTTCTTAGGAATACAAACTCTCTCCCAGCTAAATCTGGCCCCTTGAGTTTGAGTGGCTGGCCCTTTCCAAAGAAAGGAAATACATTTCTGCTCAACTTCCATGATCGCTTTCTTAAAAAACAAAAAATTACGCTAGTAATTGGATGTACTTAGTAATATTGAAGAGGGACCCCGACATACCTCACAGGGAAAAAACCTTGCTCAAATCCAGAGACAGCCAAAATATTTGCTATTAAATCTGCAGATAAACCTTCTGGGTAGAACTCAGTCTTCATGGGATCAAGTTTCAGTCCTGACAGCCGATGCAACTCCAATATCTGCAAAACCACTCGAATAACCTCAACCTTCCCACCCAAAAATATAGCAAGGTCATCTGCAAAAACATACATGGGTGAGCTTGATCTCGCTACACAGAGGATGATAAAGAATTTTCCCTGCAGCTGCAGCATCAGTCAACAAACGTGAGAATACTTGCGTAGCCATGAAAAAAAGATTATAAAACAAGGGATCTCCTTGTCTAAGCCCTTTTTTTGGGGAAAATAACCTCCAAAGAACCATTAAGAGCTATAGAGAACATGGGATTTGTCACACGAGCCTGAATCCAGCTAACAAAAGTTGGAGGAATCCCAATGGGCTATAAAACATTAAGAATAAAATCCAAATTCACAGAGTCAAAAGCCTTCATAACATCAGCTTTAATAAAGCATTGGAAACTCCACTTCAATGATAATGCTTCAAAATTTCATGGGTCAAAAGAATATTATCTGCAATCTTTCTCCCTTCAATGAAAGCACTCTGATTGGGATATAAATAAAGGCAAAATCCCCGTCAGTCTCAAAGAAAGTATCTTGGTGATGCAATTATAGATCCCACTGCAGCATAAAATTAGTCTAAACTCAGACATCCATGAAAATTTGAGAACTATTGGCCCTGTTACTTTGTTGCATTAATTGCACCAAGAAGCCTGGACGAGGTGAAAAATTCAAGCATTGCCCTTGTAGCATCAGCACCAATGATTCCAGGCCCTCTTGAAGAAGCGCGAAGTGTAACTGTTGGGTATACCAATAATTCCAAGACTCTTGTCCTCTTTAATATACCAAATTGCATCGTTAATATCAGCAGCTGTAACAGGGGATATAAGAGCATCACCGTCCTCCTGTGATAAAGAGTAATTTAAGACTAGGATAAAGAGTATATCAAGATGGATCTCAACTCTTCCTCTGAATCTCCATTACACTGAGGATCAGTCCTACCTGGAAGGCCCTTATAGAAAGAAATTGCTTCCTCTTTAACATCATTATACTTTTTCAGTCTCACCATTAGAATTATACAGTACTCTGACAGTACCCTCAGCATTTCTTGCTTTAACAACTTGAAAAAAGTAGCCAGAGTTCTGATCACCCAATTTAATCCATGAATCCTGGATTTCTGCTTCAAAAAACCTTCTTCAGCAGCTTTAAGATCTGCTAATACTGCAGCAAGTGTCCTTTCCTTGCTCTTCAAGTCTTCTATGGCCCTCAAATTGTGCTCCAAACTTTTGAAAATTCTAATAGAATTCAAACAACTCCCAAGAATTTGTATGTGCCCCACCATTTCAGTATGCAAAGCATCTTTCTCCATCAGGAGCATAATTGAAAATCACGAAAGATCACTGAATTTTTCGCCAATTTCAATTTCCTCCACAAACTCTAATAATACCAAGAAAAAAAAATTATATCTATACAAGGATTCAATTGAGTCAAGAAACTTCTAGCTATCACATGACACCCATCTTGTACAAGCTAAAACCCATGGAATAAAAGAAACCAACTGAGAAAAAGAGACTCTTTATTGCCCTTAATAATAACACCATCTGACACAAGCCTTTTATAGGCAAAACCAATAACGGAAAAGCTAGAAAATAGCAACAGAGAAAGACCAAGTCATTCTAAACGTGTGCAGCAACATGCTGCAACCAATTCCTAAAGACTAGGACAATTCCTTGCTTATTGAAAACGTGAACAGAAGCATAGATTTGACTGAAACAAACTTGACTTATTCAATACCATCGACATTCACTGCTTATTCTATGTAAATTAACATTGTCTACAGCCGGTTATAGCTTTTCGTGGATATTTTCCTTAGCAGGTTCTCCATCTCTTCGTTTGTGGACAGGGTTTTAGGCTATCAAAGGCCGAACTGAGCCCCCTCAGCCCATCTAGCTAAATAAAATAGTAAAAAGAATGAGCATCTCTTCTCCTCTGTCCTACTGAAAGAAACGTGAAAGAACGAAGGACGGAAGGCAGAGAGTGAGCAGCGAGAGAAGACAGAGAAGAGAGGACAAATCGATGATCGGCGGCTGAAGAGGTTGATCGATGCCGGGAAATGCCATTTGCAAGTGATTAGTAAGAGTTTTCTGTTATCTTTTTCCTCTAACGAGTTAGTTTTTTTCTCAGAGTCTAAATTTGGAGGCCGAACAGTGTTGGCTTCGCCGGTGACTTCCGGCTTAGTCTAAGGCTGTCCAATATTGATAATTAGGTCCCTCGCATCTCTAGGTACACATGTAGGATTTTACAGATCACGATTGGAACTTCTCGACTGCGATGTATTGGTTTTTCAAAGTTTTCAGAAACTGCTGTACGTTAACTGCTACCGGCAGTGTTCTGCGCCGAATTTTGTCAGTTGCCGGCCAGCTTTTGGATTGGAGGAGCTTTTGAGTTGTCTAGTACTTTGAAAGAGCTTTCTTTTGACCGTAGCTCACTTGAAAGGGAGTTCAAGAGAGAGATACGGCACCCAAAATTCACCGCGCGATATGAGCTTACTGCTCTGTTCGCCACGGGCAATTTTGATGCTTGTGTGGCCTTTTTTCCAACCCATACTGGATGTTTTTACCCTAAAAATAGCGTCGCCTTGTAGGGTCTTAGTTTTACATTGGGTTAATGCTTCTTTGACAGGAATTTGAAGCTTTCTGAGTGGTATATCTTTCAATTGGCGTTAAATTAACAGTGAGTTGTGCTTGTCTCTTTTGTGATTTGTGAACTCGTGTCTTGAAAATGGCAGGAATTATATATTTAGTAAATTATGAAAGAGGCATTGCACGGTTTGATAATAACTTAAAAAGAAAAGGTTGTGTTTAGAGCATATTTGGTATATCAAGCTAGATCAGACATATTGAAATGGCATAGTAAAGCATCTCTTGAAATAGTTTGACAGTTCATTATTTGTAAAATTGTTTGAGAAATGTCATATAAATTGTATTCAGTTTAGAAGAGATTTATACTACTCATTGAGTAGTGTTTTTCTAATACCAATTATCTCAATTCTTTTTCAGAATCTACAGCTATCAACAGATACAGCGAAAGACCCACCCATCGATGGCCGCGTTGGTTTGCGCTCAGTTCCTTTCACGAGAGGTCCTGGGTTCAAAACTCGCCCATCGGTGATTTAAGTGGGGGGTCGTGGCGGTGGGATGCTGCGCTAGCCCCCCTCGAGGACTAGTCGGGCATCACCGCTGGTTTGAACTCTAGCTCGCCGGCCGCGCGGACACCTCGATTATCACAAAAAAAAAAAAAAACAGATACAGCGAAAGTAATATGGGCGGGGATTTTTGGGAGTTGGATTCTGGGTATAAGTCGAGATAGTTGTATTTTGTTAGGTTTAGTTTGTTAGTCATTGTGGAAGTATATCTTCCTTTTGGTGGACTTTAGAACTCTTGATCCTGACCCATATCATGCAAAAATTCATGCTTCATCAAATAGAGATAATAAGAAACCTTAGAGTCCATTCATAAGCCATGGCAAGTACTTCAGCGCTGACCATAGGCCGAAAAGATTACAAGGATTACATCAGTCTTTTGCCCGATTGCCTAATCCATCACATCTTCTCCTTTCTGCCCACAAGGGACATCATCAAAACTTGTGTTCTGTCGAAAAGGTGGCAGTTTGTTTGGACCACTATCTCGGATCTCAGGTTCTCTGTCTCTTCTTAACATGATCCGTTTGTGGACAGAGTTTTGACACTCTATGTGGGGCGTAAGGTGAAAAAGTTCCACCTTGAGGTCAGTTTAGAGTTCAACTCCTCAAAGATTGATTCATGGGTTCACTTTGCAATTAATCATCAAGTGGAAGAACTTCTTCTATATTTTAATTGGTTTATACCGTGGCTCCCTTACCCATATTATCCATTGCTTCATAATTGCTCTTCATTGACTAAGCTATGTTTGAGAGGCTGTCTTTTCTCATCCAGCGAAAGTATTAGTTGGAGTTCGCTTAAGTCCTTGTCTATTGAATATGTGACCGATGATGTGCTTCGGAAGATTTTGATGGGCAGCCCTGTTCTTGAATACTTGAATTTGACAGATTGCTGGGGTGTAGAAGGAATTCATTCGAGAAGTTTGAGAGAGTTGGTAATTATTAATGCTAATGTCATGAGATCCCCTTTGCACATTTCAACTCCCCATTTGTTGTCATTGCGTGTGAGAGGGACTTATTTTGATGAGGCAATAAGAATTGTTGGAGCACCGTCTTTAGTTGAAGTTGAATTAGATTTCGACGGTCCAGTAGAATCAGATAGCCGCCTGCTAAAGGAAATGCTTTGCAAGCTGCAGAATGCTACTCAAATTCTTTTCGGTACTTGGTTCCTTCGGGTGAGGATAATCATCTTGCTTCTTAATGGACATTATCTTTTCAATGAAGTTTTTCATTTAGGATATTTGCACATTATTCTGCCAAACCTTGATGGATTTTTCTATGAGAAAAGAAGTACTAGTTTGTGATGTACTTAAGAGAAGTTTAACCTTTATTCTATCATTCCAAGTTATACTTTGCTATTGTGACAAATACAAGGATGTGACCCTTTACAAACTTTCTTTTGGTGATCAGACTTTACCATTTGACGTGGTTAGGTTATGTCGCCTCTGAAGGTAGAAGACGTGCAGGTTTCGCTGCTGAATTGCAAGTCCCTAACGCTAAGGATGCCCATTCCCCAATTCAGCTTTCCTGCTATAGCAAATATGCTAGCAACTGCACCAAATTTGGAGAAGCTGGTCATAATTTTTAAGCCGCCTGGTTTTGTCTCGGTATATGCCCTAAACTTTAATTCACCATTTGAGAATATTTCCAAGGATTAACTGGAATGTATTGTCCAAAGTCCCTCCCTTCCTTTGTCTCCTTGAGTCCATTTATTAGTGAAACTAGTATAATGCTTTGGAAGTTTCACGGCTGTCACTGCCTATGTTTCAAATGCTCCCTCTATTATGCTCCGAAAGTTTCACTACAGCCTCACGGATTCTTATTTTTCTTTTCCGTTTTTTGAGAATGCCACCACTATGTTGGTGATAATGAGAAGATTGAGCTTGCATTCATGAACTCAAGTACCGAAATTTTGGTTCCCTTGTTTATGATATCCTCTAGACATCTAATTTGACAAGGGATAGGCATGGATACTATATCGTGCTTTATTTGGAATGTTCACTTTGTCTTTTATCTGTGTATAGTATATATCTGACTTGGACTCCCGCAATGTTGATCACGAGAGCTATTGGCATATAAAGAAGAAGTTCAAGCGTTGGGCTCGGCATCTCAAGAATGTTGAGATTTTTGGATTTTATGCTTGTTTAAGATTCAAATATGAGGAAGTGCTGCTGCTGGTAAAGTTTCTGCTTGGACATGCATCTGTGCTGGGCAATATGGTCATCAAAGTTAAGAGTCATGAACAATATCTCGAGTCAGTCGATTCCTTTAAATTGCTTGAAGTGGCCCGACGACTTCAAAGTTATCACAAAGCTTCTAAGGATGTTGCGGTGATACTCCATTATCTGGAAGAAGTGCCCCAAAAGCGGCAGATGAAAGGAGTAAGAGTAACGACAAAATGTTTGCACATCGGCCATAAGAATGCTTGACTGGATAGGAATGCAATAAGCCACAACATCGACTAGCTTGATATGTTGCTGGTAATGTCTCATGTAAGTTTTTCAACATTTTAAAGCAAGTTTTGGGATTGTATTATGTTTTGAAATTTTTTTACAAGTGTGAGCAATTGTTTTCATTTAGACATCCGGATAACTATTTTTAGGGAACCTAAAAACTTAGCTTTTTTAATAGCAAAAATGAGCAGGAAAACTATAACACAGGGATCAGATTAGTTATGGCATATTTTAGCACTATGTATGTTTGATCATGCACATGTTGTGACTTATAAGAATAATAATGCAGTTTATGGGTTAAAGGGAGTTGAAGTCGCAATCTATTGGGATGGTTCAGTAAAAGGAATAGATGGCTAATTCTATTGTCGTCCTCCTTCGAAAGGCTAATAAAGTTATCAGCAATACATGATATAGGCAATTGTTGGATGAGATGTATTGGATCCAGGTATTGATAGACATGACTTGTCATCAAAAAATATTGTCAGTGCCTCTCTCTCTCTCTCTCTCTCTCTCTCTAAGGTGCTTAGGGTGAGTTTGGATATACTTTGACTTTTAGATTTTGCCATGACAAAAAGGACTTTAATCAAAATAATATCAATGACAGCAAATAGTGTTTGGTAATTGATATTTGCATCACTTCTGTACAGCAGCTTTAAGATAAACTAAGATAATAAAAAATTAAAAAAATAAAGAGAGAGAGAGACAGAAGTCGTTTAGAGGAGCGAAGGTGCAGGTAAGGCTGAGCACACCGGGATGGGTGTCCAAATGCGAGCACAACCACATTATCGACAGGGTCGCTGGACCCGAAGAAAGGCGGCACTACAGTCACATGAACTCGGTGAGATGCATCTCCCTTGGCATCGCACCTCGACGAAGCAATGTTGGGGCCGTGCAATGGATCAGGTGGTGATGACGCCACTACCTCCCCGGCTCCCCCCTTCCCCTCCCTGCAAGCTGCAAGGCCAGTTGGCACTCACAAAGATCGTGGCAAGGGCTGTCGACCCTCGCTGCCAACATGGGGACAGCACCACTACCCCTGAAAGAGCTTTTCTATTTACTCAGGGCTTCGTTTTTTTATTTTTGGCCACAAGAATACGCCTTACACTCCTCCATTCAAACACAGTACATCATGCCGGGTGAATTACATCTAAAACCAGCAAATCCTTTATAGGAGGACAATTTCCTAAATGCACCGTGCTTCTATCCTGCAATGTATTGGGGACAATTTCCTCCAATTACCACATACATTTGCCATCCTTCTAACTGTCCTAACTTTACAACATGCAAAATCTGAAAGGCAGCTCCTTTTATCATCCACAATAGCTTCAGCCTGCCAGCTTACATTCCTTACTGCATTTCCTTTCCAATCACCTCAGCGTCTGTTTCAAATCACAAACTGCAACCAACCTGTTTCTTTTGCCAAAAGTATATACCTTCTTCAATTGCTAATGCTTCAACCTTGTTGCTCCTCTTATTCTGCTTACAGCCACCTCTTATTTTCGAATTCTGAAATTCATCGATCAACACATATATTCTTCAAAGAACCTTTTTTCAGATATACCAACATATACACATTATTGTTCCCAGTAGTTTCTCCTATTTTCCAGTGGTCTTTTCAATTCTGCATTGGTTTTCTTTAGCCAGTCATCCATAGTCTTTACCCAATTCTTCTCGATTGAATACCCAATCTGCCAAACCAGATGGCCTGACTCCAATGACACTACAACAATGTATGCTCAATTGTCTCTATCTTCTCACAAAAAACACATAATTGATTCTCTTTGATCCTCCTCTTGAACATGTTTTCTGCTGTAACTACTGCATTATGCCAAACTTTCCACAATGTGCTTCACTTTTGGTGGGCAGTTAGCATGCCATAATATATTCCACTGCCTGGTTTGTATTACATGAGAAGAAGAAGATCCTCTCAACTCAGCTCTTTCCTCACAATCCTTCAAAGAGAGTGAAGCACAGGTTTATCAGTCACCATCCCATTCTTCATAGTTGGCCGCTTCAGACTATCAGATCCCCTTCTCCTACTAAGATTTATTCTCTTGATGGCTTCCACTTCCTCTCTGTAAACAGCAATCGCTACTCTCCAATCTCCAGCTTCAAGTCTCATCATAAATCAAGCTTGCCACCCTCATATCCTCATCAATTCCTTCTTCAGTTAAAAGATGCAACTAATATCAGCTCCAAACACCCAGGCATCCTTCCACACCTTCACCTTTTCCCCATTGCCAATCTGCCAAATACCACCACTCTTCAAACACTCCACACCATCCAAAATACTGCTCCACCCCCACGATACCCTTGCCCCTTTATGAGCCTCACAAAATCACAAATAAGAATATACAAACCCTTCAATATCCTAACCCACAGAGCATCAGAGTTTTTTATATTCTCCATGCCCGCTTAGTTAAGACGGCCATATTAAAAATTGTTAGATCTCTAAAACTATCCCCCCTTACCCTTTTGGCTTTTGTCATATACTTCCAACTTTTCTAATGTACTCTGCCTTGTTTTTGTCCCCACCAAAATCTGGCCATAATCCGATTCACCTCTTTAGACCACTTGTTTGGAAACTAAAAGCGACTCATTGCATAGGTTGGGATTGGATACACCATTGCCTTAAAAATCACTTCTCTGCCTGCCTAAGAAAGAAAGATTGCCTTCCAAACTTGAAGTTTCTTAACCACTCTACTCTTTATAAATCCCAATGCTTCTGTCTTAGATCTCCCCCAAACTGTTGTCAGCCCCAAATACTTCCCTCAGTTATTAGTATCACCAATCCCAACATACTCTGAGATATAAACTAGACATCTGCAGATTAACCATCTGACCAGAAGCTAGCCAATATTTTCGGAAGATCTCCTTCACCCTCCTGCAATTTCTTCTATGGTTTCAATAAAAAGTAAAAAATCGTCAGCATGGAAGAGATGAATCAATACAGAACAGGTCCTCTTCATTTTAATCCCTTTAATTCCACCCAACACAGCTTCTTTATTCAGCCAACCTGATATTACATCAACTACCATCAAAAAGAGGTAAGGAGACAAGGGATCTCCATGCCTTATCCCCCCCGTTGAAGTGACCCTTCCAGCTATCATACCATTCACCATAATCTAATATCCCAATGGAGAAACACAAGTCATTACTCATCTTTTCCATCTATCATCGAAGCCCATTTTCTTCGTAGTACCTTCAAGGAAATCCCACTCAATCTTGTCATATGTCTTGTTTCAAACAATTCATACCACATTTCTCTTTTTTACCTTTCTTTTTCACTCAAAAGATAATGGAATACCTCATGAGCAATGAGTATATTGTCTTAGATTTGCCTACCTGCAACAATAGCACTTCGCTTCTGGGATATAAGATTTGATAAATGAGGTTGAAGTCTATTTACTAGGATTTTTGACATATTTTTATACAGGAAAATTACACAAGCTTATGGGCCTGAATTAAGAGACATCTTCAGAAAGTGGACAGAAGTCGCTATCGCTCAAAGAGACTTGGTAAAACCAATGGAGATAATACTTGAAGGCAGTGTTTCCTTCAGGAATGGAGCGCTGACGGAAGCTTAGCAGCCGGGCTCCGTCGCTGTTTGGAAAATAAGGTTCAGCCTTGTGTCCCGATGGGAGCGAAATTCGAGACTCAGAAAACAAAGATGGGAAGTACAAGCGAATCCAAGCTTAGAGAATCCAGAAATGACCATGAAAAACTCCTGAAGTGGACTCACCCACGGAAGCAGACGCAAAACCCAAGCCTCGGTACAAAGCAGCTATTGCTAAACGCCCCATGGCGATGGGTCTACCTTTCGATGAGAAATTTGGACAACCAGTAAAGAAGAAAAGCGATATGCTCTTCTTCCTCAACATCCCCTTCTGAGAAGCATACTCTCCCAGAACACAAGTATACGAAGGCTTAGCGTCCTTGAGGAAATCTAGATAAGAGGAGAAGACAAATAAGTTGGGATCCTCTCCCGAGAGGCCAAGTCCAATAATGGCATAAACATCCAGAAGAGTTACAGACATGAGACCCGATCAAAGAAAGAAGCAATTAGCAGACGGAGACCAGAAGCAAACAAGGGCGCCTAAAAGTCTAGGGTTTAGCCTCCAATCAAAGGTACAAAACTCAAGGGTTGTCGATCTTAATTTTCTGCCATAGCTCGAGCATGGCAGGCTTGAGCCTATATCATTCAAAAAAGACAGGATCAAAGGGAAAGAACGATCTGAGCCTTTGGGACGTGGTCGTCCGGACATAATCCATTGTCGCATATGCTGGTGATCGAAGCTGCTTGAAGGGGCCCAAGTAGGTCAAATAGTTGGGTGTAGAAGAAGACATGGTAGAACCAGGACAGAAGAGGGAGATCGAAAATGGCGAGAGAGAGAGAGAGAGAGAGTAAAAATCCATCTTGGAACGGCTATCAATGGCATTAAGAGGAGCTTAAAAGGCGCTCAGGATTGAAGCCCTAAAAGATATTGGATTGCAAGAAGAGATTTGGGGATTGAAGAAACGTATAGCGCGAATCCAGAGGATAAGAATCAGTTAGTACAATCGCCAAATCGAATTAAAAATATTTCAATTATTTTAGAGGGAGCATTTGTTGGCGCTTAAATTTGGCTAATTGGGCTTAGAGGAAAGAAAGGTATACCAGACCCAAATTGTTAAAGCAATAGCTAGGGTGAGGAAGTCGCACAAGGCCCACTGCACGGGATACCGAAAACTTGGCACCAAGAACCGCTCGAGACGACAGGATAAAGACAAGAGCGGTTACCACATTTGGTGCAGACAATACCATGAATAAGAGGAGACAATTATCAGATGTGAAATTGAACAATCTAAAGTCAAGAGGATAACCAGCTTGACAGAGGTTACTCATCAGCGGTAGCTATAAATAGCCTCAAGAAAATCATTGAAAGAGCCTTTTGCCAAATTCACTATAGAACGCATATCTTTGTAATCTCATTTATTTAATTGCTGTCGTTAATTTACCCTTTTATCGCACACTTTTTTATCCCCTGTCCTTTTACTTTTTATTCACCATTAACGTAGATTTCGTCGCTTCCTTTCTGAAATGACACATGACCACATTATTCACAAAAAGCCGAAGATCTTCCCCTTCGGTGAAAGATTTTTCATTCGAGGCCACTCCCGGCGAAACACTATCACATGACACCCATCGACATTCACTGCTTATTCTATGTAAATTAAGATTGTCTCCAGCCGGTTATAGCTTTTCCTGGATAGTTTCCTCAGCATGTTCTCCATCTCTTCGTTTGTGGACAGGGTTTTAGAGAGCCTGTTGGGCCATCAAAGGCCGAACTGAGCCCCCTCAGCTCGTCCAGCTAAATAAAATAGACAAAAAAAAAGGCCAAATTCCCTAAAAAACCCCCAACTTTACCCTTTATCCCAATTATATCCCAAACTTTTTTTTGTCTTATAAAAAACCTCAAACTTTTACTTTTGTCCCAAATCTACCCAATTCACTTTTCGTCCAATTTTTTAATATTATTTTTTATTTTTTCGAATTTTTTTTATTTTTTCTTTTCTTTTCTTTTTCCTTTCCTTTTCTTTTTTTTTTTTTTCACCTTCGGCGGTCGCCCGTCCGTGCATTAGCCTAATGGCGGGGGCCTGAGGTCGGCCCCGCCATGTCCGGCAGCGGTGACCTCGCCAATAGCCGGCGGGGCCGACCTCGCCTTGAATAGCCGGCGGGGCCGAGCCTCGCCGTGGTGGGCGAGGCTCGGCCCCGCCGGCGGCATGTGAGGCTCGGCCTCGCACGCTGCCGGGCGAGGCCGACCTCGCCGGTTGCCGCGGGGCCGACCTCGCCAATAAGCCGGCGAGGCTCGGCCTCGCCGGCGGCGGCGTGGCCGAGTTCTCGCTGAGATGCGCGAGGCTCGACCTCGCCCGATTGCCGCGGGCCGAGCCTCGCCCGGATCTGGCGAACCCGGGCCACGCCGGCGGCCGGCGAGGCCGGCCTCGCCAATAGCCGGCGGGGGCCGAGCCTCGCCGTGTGCGCGAGGTCGGCCCCGCCGGCAACCGGCAGCGAGGTCGGCCTCGCCCAAGCAGCGAGGTGAGAGCTCGCCCGACCACCAGCGAGCTCGGCCTCTCCCAACGCCGGCGGGACCAGAGCCTCGCCCGGCCACGGCGAGGCTCGGCCTCGCCAACGCCGACGGGACCGAGCCTCGCCCCCGCCGGCCCCCGCCTCTGGCCGGTCGCCGGTCCAGCGACCGGCCCAAAGGTGAAACAAAAAAAAAAGAAAAGGAAAGGAAAAAGAAAAGAAAAGAAAAATAAAAAATTCGAAAAATAAAAAATAATATTAAAAATTGGACGAAAATCAGATAGACAAAAAAAAAGTTTGAGGCTTTTTATAAGACAAAAAAGTTTGGATATAATCGACAAAAGCAGAGTTGAAGAGGGGGTTTTTTTAGGGAATTGGGCCCAAAAAAAAAAGTGTGCTTCTCTTCGCCTCCTCTGTCCCACTGAAAGAAACGTCACAGAACGAAGGACAGAAGGCAGAGAGTGAGCAGCGAGAGAAGAGAGAGAAGGGAGGACAAGTCGATGATCAGCGGCTGAAGACGTTGATAGATGCCGGGAAATGCCAATTTGCAAGTGATTAGTAAGAGTTTTCTTTTATCTTTTTCCTCTTAATAGTTAATGTTTTTTCTTGGAGTCTAAATTTGGTGGCCGAACTGTGATGACTTGGCCCATGATTTCCGGCTCAGTCTGAGGCTGTCCGATACTGATAATTAGGTCCCTCGCATCTCTAGGAACACATGTATGATTTTACGGATCGCGATTGGAACTTCTCTGTGATGTATTGGTTTTTCGAAGTTTTCGGAAAGTTGCCGGCCAGTTTTTGGGTTGGAGGAGCTTTTGAGTCTTTTAGTACTTCGAAAGAGCTTTCTTTTGGCCGTAAGCTCACGAGCTCGATAGAGAGAGATATGACTCCCAAGATTCGCCACGCGAGATAGAGCTTACTGCTCTGCTCGCCACAGCAAGTTTGATCGTTGTGTGGCCTTTTTTCCCAATCCATAGTCGCCTCGTAGAGTCTTAGTTTTACATTGGTTTAATGCTTCTTTGACAGGAATTTGAAGCTTTCTGGGTGGTATATCTTTCAATTGGCTTTAGGTTGATGGTGAGTTGTGCTCGTCTCTTTTGTGATTTGTGAACTCCTGTCTTGAACATGACAAGAATTATATATTTAGCAAGTTATGAATGAGGCATTGCACGGTTCGATATTTATGTAAAAAGAAAAGGTTGTGCTTAGAGCATATTTGGTATATCAAGGTAGATTGGATATATTGAAATGGCATAGTAAAGCATCTCTTGAAATAGTTTGAGAGTTGATTATTTGTAAAGATGTTTGAGAAATGTCATATAAATTGTTTTCGGTTTAGAAGAGATTTATACTACTAATTGAGTGGTGTCTTTCTAATACCAATTATCTAAATTCTTTTTCAGAATCTACAGCTATCAACAGATACGACAGAAAGTAAAATGGGCAAGGGATTTTTGGGAGCTGGATTCTGGGTATAAGTCGAGATAGTTGTATTTTGTTAGGTTTAGTTTGTTAGTCACTGTGGAAGTATATCTTCTATTTGGTGGACTTTAGAACTCTTGATCCTGCCCCATATCATGCAAAAATTCATGCTTCATCGAATCGAGATAATAAGAAACCTTAGAATCCATTTGTAAGCCATGGCAAGTACTTCAGCTCTGACTATAGGCCGAAAAGATTACGAGGATTACATCAGTCTTTTGCCTGATTGCCTAATCCATCACATCTTCTCCTTTTTGCCCACAAGGGACGTCATCAAAACTTGTGTTTTGTCAAAAAGGTGGCAGTTTGTTTGGACCACTATCTCGGATCTCGGGTTCTCTGTCTCTTCTTACCATGATTCGTTTGTGGACAGAGTTTTGACGCACTATGTGGGGCCTAAGGTGAAAAAGTTCCACCTTGACGTCATATTAAACTTCGATTTCTTCAACCCCTCTAAGATTGATCCTTGGGTTCACTTTGCGATTAATCATCAAGTGGAAGACCTTCTTCTCGATGTGTATTCATATCAGTATACACCGTGGGGCCATTACCTAGAAAAGGCAGAGGATTACACATTGCATCCATTGCTTTATAATTGCTCTTCGTTGACTAAGCTATGTTTGACAGGCTGTCATTTCCCATTCAGTGAAAGTATTAGTTGGAGTTCGCTTAAGTCCTTGTCTATTGATAATGTGACCAGTGATGTGCTTCAGAAGATTTTGATGGGCAGCCCTGTTCTTGAATACTTGAATTTGACAGATTGCTGGTCTGTAGAAGGAATTCGAATTCATTCGAGAAGTTTGAGAGAGTTGGTAATTATTAATGCTGATGTCATTGGACCCCCTTTGCACATTTCAACTCCCCATTTGTTGTCATTGCGTGTGAGAGGGGCTCATTTTTATGAGGCAATAAGAATTATTGAAGCACCGTCCTTAGTTGAAGCCGAATTAGATTTTGGCGGTCCAGCTAAATCAGATAGCTGCCTGCTAAAGGAAATGCTTTGCAAGCTGCAGAATGCTACTCGTATTCTTTCTGGTGCTTGGTGCCTTTGGGTGAGCATAATCATCTTGCTTCCTAATGGACATTATCTTTTCAATGGATTTTTTCATTTAGGATATCTGAACATTATTCTGCCAAAGCTTGATGGAATTTTCTATGAGAAGAGAAGTACTAGTTTGTAATGTACTTAATAGAAGTTTAATATTTATTCTATCATTCCAAGTTATACTTTCCTATTGTAACAAATACAAGGATGTGACCCTTTGCAAACTTTCTTTTGGTGATCATACTTTCCCTTTTGACGTGGTTAGGTTATGTCGCCTCTGAAGGTAGAAGACATGCAGATTTCGCTGCTGAATTGCAAGTCTCTGACACTAAGTATGCCGATTCCCAAATTCAGCTTTCCTGCTATAGCAAATATGCTAGCAACTGCACCAAATTTGGAGAAGCTGGTGATAATTTTTAAGCTACCTGATTGTGTCTCGGTATATGCCCTAAACTCACCATTTGAGAATATTTCAAAGGATTAACTGGAATGTACCGTCCAAAGTCTCTCCCTTCCTTTGTCTCTTGAGTCCATTTATTAGTGAAACTGGTATAATGCTTTGGATTTTCACGGCTGTCGCTGCCTATGTCTCAAATGCTTCCTCTATTATGCTCCAAAGTTTCACTACAGCCTCACGGATTCTTGTTTTTCTTCTGTTTTTTGAGAATGCCACCACTATGATGGTGGTGATGAGAAGATTGAGCTTGCATTCATGAACTTGAGTACCGAAATTTTGGTTCCCTTGTTTATGATATCCTCTAATCTCATTACTGTAGGCTAGACATCTAATTTGACAAGGGATAGGCATGGATACTAAATCGTGCTTTATTTGGAATGTTCACTTTGTCTTTTATCTGTGTATAGTATATATCTGACTTGGACTCCCGCAATGTGGATCACGAGAGCTATTGGCATATAAAGAAGCAGTTCAAGCGTTGGGCTCGGCATCTCAAGAATGTTGAGATTTTTGGATTTTATACTTGTTTAAGATCCAAATATGAGGAATTGCTGCTGCTGGTAAAGTTTCTGCTCGGACATGCATCTGTGCTGGGCAATATGGTCATCAAAGTTAAGAGTCATGAACAAGATCTCGAGTCAGTCGATTCCTTGAAATTGCTTGAAGTGGCCCGACGGCTTCAAAGTTATCACAAAGCTTCTAGGGATGCTGCAGTGATACTCAATTATCTGGAAGAAGTGCCCCAAAAGCGGCGGAAGAAAGGAGTTAGAGTAACAACAAAATGTTTGCACATCGGCCATAAGAATGCTTGACTGGATCGGAATGCAATAAGCCACAACATGACTAGCTTGATATATTGCTAGTAATGTCTCATGTAAGTTTTTCAACATTTTAGAGCAAGTTTTGGGATTGTATTTGGTTTCGAAATTGTTTAACAAGTTTGAGCAATTCTTTTCATTTAGGCAATCTGGATAACCGTAATTAGGGGAAAACCTAAAAACTTAGCTTCTTTAATAGCATAAATGAGTAGGGAAACTATAGCACAGGGATCAGATTATTATGGCGTATTTTAGCACTATGTATTGCAGTTTATGGGTTAAAGGGAGTTGAAGTAGCAATCTATTGGAAATACTTTGACTTTTAGATTTTGCCATGACAAAAAGGACTTTACTCAAAATAATATCAATGAGAGCAAATAGTGCTTGGTAATTGATATTTGCATCACTTCTGTACAGCAGCTTTAAGATAAACTAAGAATATAAAAAATTAAAAAAATAAAGAGAGAGAGAGAGAAGTTTAGAGGAGCGAAGGTGCGGGTAAGGCTGAGCACACCGGGATGGGTGTCAAAATGCGAGCACAACCACATCATCGACAGGGTCGCTGGACCCGAAGAAAGGCGGCACTACAGTCACATGAACTCGGTGAGATGCATCTCCCTTGGCATCGCACCTCGACGAAGCAATGTTGGGGCCATGCAATGGATCAGGTGGTGATGACGCCACTACCTCCCCGGCTCCCCCCTTCCTCTCCCTGCGAGCTGCAAGGGCCAGTTGGCCCTCACGAAGATCATGGCGAGGGTTGTAGACGCTCACTGCCGACATGGGAACTGCACCACCATCCCTGAAAGAGCTTTTCTTTTTACTCGGGGGCTGGTTTTTCCTTTTTGGCCGCAAGAATACGTCTTATTCTCCTCCATTCAAACAAAGTATATCATGGTGGGTGAATTACATCTAAAACCAGCAAATCCTTTATAGGAGGACAATTTCCTAAACGCAGCTTCGTTCTATCTTGCAATGCATCGAGGACAATTTCCTCCAATTAGCAGGTACATTTGCCATCCTTCTAACAGGAAAAGTCCCAAAAAAGTCCTAAACCTTTTGTATTAGTGCCAATTTAGTCCTAAACCTTTTTTTGGTGCCAATTCAATCCTAAACCTTTTGCATTGATGCCAATTTAGTCCTAAACCTTTTTTTGGTGCCAATTCAGTCCAAAACCTTTTAAATTGGTGTCAATTCAGTCCTAAACCTTTTGTTTTTGTACCAATTTAGTCTTTCCGATCAATTTTGACCGGATTTTGCCGACGTGGCGCCGACGTGGACAACTTTAATATTATTTTAAATTTTTTTGAATTTTTTTTTCCTTTTTTTTTTTTTTTTTTCCACTTTTTTTTTTTGTCTCTCCCTCCTCCTGCGGCGGGTCGCCGGTCCGGCGACCGGCGGCCGGCCAGAGGCCAGAGGCCGGCGAGCTTGACCTCGCCGGCCACTGGCGAGGGCGGCGGCCTCGCTCGGCGAGGGCGTGCCTCGCCTTGGTCAGGCGTGCCTCGCTCGACCATGGCGAGGCTCGAGCTCTCGCCCGAGGCCTCGGCGAGGGCAAGCCTCGCCATGGTCGGGCGAGGCTCGCCCTCGCCGCGGCCTCCGCGAGGCTCGCCCTCGACGCGGCCTCCGGCGAGGGCTCGAGCCTCGCCATGGTCGAGCGAGGCCCAACCTCGCCGGATCTGGCGAGGTCGAGCCTCGCCCGACCAAGGCGAGGCTCGAGCCTCGCCGGATCCGGCGAGGTCAACCCGGGCGGATCCGGCGAGGTCGGGCCTCGCCTGACCATGGCGAGGCTCACCCTCGCCGCGGCCTCCGGCGAGGCTCGCCCTCGCCGGGCAAGGCCGCCCTTGCCAGTGGCCAGCGAGGTCGAGCTCACCGGCCTCTGGCCTCTGGCCGGTCGCCGGTCGCAGGACCGGTGACCGGCCAGAGGGAGGAGGGAGAGACCAAAAAAAAAAATTGGAAAAAAAAAGAAAAAAAATAAAAATTCAAAAAAATATTAAAATAATATTAAAGTTGTTAACGTTGGCGCCACGTCAGCGCCGGTGACCGGCCGGCAGGCGTCCACGTCGGCAAATTCCGGTCAAAATTGGCCGGAAGGACTAAATTGGCACAAAAACAAAAGGTTTAGGACTGAATTGGCACCAATGTAAAAGGTTTAGGACTGAATTGGCACCAAAAAAAGGTTTAGGACTAAATTGGCACCAATGCAAAAGGTTTAGGACTAAATTGGCACTGATGTAAAAGGTTTATGACTTTTTTGGCACTTTTCCCTCCTTCTAACTATCCTCTCTTTACGACATGTAAATCTGAAAGGCAGCTCCTAATATCATCCACAATAGTTTCAGCTTGCCAGCGACAACCTCTATTTACGTTCTGTACTGCATTTCATTTTCAATCACCACGTCTGTTGCAAATCACAAACTGCAACCAACCTGTTTCTTCTGCCAAAAGTATACCTTCTTCAATTGCTAATGCTCCAACCTTGTTGCTCCTCTTATTCTGTTTACAGCCATCATTTATTTTCAAATTATGAAATTCATCAATCGCCACATATATTCTTCAAAGAACCTTTTTTCAGATATACCAACATATACACATTATTGCTCCCAGTAATTCCTCCTGTTTTCCGGTGGTCTTTTCAGTATCTACATTGGTTTTCTTAAGCCAGTCATCCATAGTCTTTACCTAATTCTTCTCAATTGAATACCCAATCTGCCAAGCCAGATGGCCTGACTCCAATGACACTACAACAATGTATGCTCTATTGTCTCTATCTTCTCACAACAAACAAACAATTGATTCTCTGTGATCCTCCTCTTGAACTTGTTTTCTGCTGTAACTACTGCACCATGCCAAACTTTCCACAATGTGCTTTACTTTTGGTGGGCAGTTAGCATGCCATAATCTATTCCATTGCCTGCTTTGTATTACTTGAGAAGAAGAAGATCCTCTCAACTCAGCCCTTTCCTCACAATCCTTCGAAGAGAGTGATGCACCGGTTTATCAATCACCTCCCCATTCTTCACAGTTGGCCACTTCAAATTATCAGATCCCTTTTCCTACCAAGTTTTATTCTCTTGATGGCTTCCACTTCCTCTCTGTAAACAGCAATCACTACTCTCCAATCTCCAGCTTCAAGTCTCATCATCAATCAAGCTTGCCACCCTCATATCCTCATCAATTCCTTCTTCAGTAAAAAGATGCAACTAATATTTCTCAGCTTCAAATGCCCAGGCATCCTTCCACACCTTCACCTTTTCCCCATTGCCAATCTGTCAAATACCACCACTCGTCAAACACTCCAGACCATCCAAAATATTGCTCCGCCCCTACGATACCCTTGCCCCTTTATGAGCCTTCACAAAATCACAATTAAGAACATACAAACCCTTCAATATTCTAACCCACAAAGCATCAGAGCTTTCTATGCACCCTCCATGTCCGCTTAGCTAAGACAGCCATATTAAATATCGTTAGATCTGTAAAACCATTCCCCCTACCCTTTTGGCTTTTGTCATAGATTTCCAACTTTTCTAATGTACTCTGCCTTCTTGTTCTATTTGTCCCCACCAAAATCTGGCCACAATCCGATTCACCTCTTCAGACCACTTCTCTGGAGACTAAAAGCAACTCATTGGATAGGTTGGGATTGGATACACCATTGCCTTAAAAATCATTTCTCTACCTGCCTGAGAAAGAAAGATTGCCTTCCAACCTTGAAGCTTCTTAACCACTATACTCTTTATAAACCCCAACGCTTCTGTTTTAGATCTCCCCCAAACTGTTGTCAGCCCCAAATACTTCCCTCAGTTATTAATATCACCAATTCCAAAATACTGAGATCTGCTCTTTTATCTCAAAGTCAGCATTGGGATTGAAAACTAAACTAGACATCTGCAGATTAGCCATCTGACCAGAAGCTAGCCAATATTTTTTGGAAGATCTTTCCCCCTCCTGCAATTTCTTCTTTGGTTTCAAGAAAAAGTAAAAATTCGTCAGCACAAAAGAGATGAGGCAATACAGGACTGGTCCTCTTCATTTCATTTTAATCCCTTTAATCCAACCCAACACAGCTTCTTTATTCAGCCAACCTGATATTGCATCAGCTACCATCAAAAAGAGGTAAGGAGACAAGGGATCTCCCTGCCTTATCCCCCTCATTGAAGTGACCCTTCCAGCTATCGTATCATTCACCATAATCTGATATCCCAATGGAGAAACACAAGTCATTACTCATCTGTTCCATCTATCATCGAAGCCCATTTTCTTCAGAGTACCTTCAAGGAAATCCCGCTCAATCCCGTCTATGCCTCGTTCCTAGCATTTCATAGCACATTCCACTTTTTAACCTTTCTTTTTCACTCACAAGATAATGAAAGACCTCATGAGCAATGAGTATATTGTCTTCGATTTGCCTACCTGCAACAAAAGCACTTTGGTTCTCGGATATAAGATTTGATAAATGAGGTTGAAGTCTATTTACTAGCATGTTTGACATATTTTTATACAGGAAAATTGCACAAGCTTATGGCTCTGAATTAAGAGACATCTTCGGGACAAGGAACTGAAGGCACAAGGATAACATTGGTATAATTCAGTTACTAGGAAGATAATCAGTTGCAAAGAATTTTTGGACTCCAAGAATGATGGAAGAACCAACAATATCCCAATACTGTTTATGGAAGACCCTTGAGAAACTATCTGGCCTGCATGTTCGCTGAAGGAGCTTCGAAGATTCCCAACTGGAACACTGCACCTTTAATTTCCTCATCAGTGACATCAACAACCATCTCTTTCCCCCTCGGTTCTGAAAATTCGTCCTAAATATTCCAAGAAAGCTCCTTTAATATCCTCTTCCTCCTTTGCAATGTAGTTTCGTGGAAAAATTTAGTATTTTTGTCTGCACTATTGATCCAATTCAGCCTTGCCCTTTGATGCCAATAAATTACTTCCCTTTGCCATACCTCTTTCATTTCCTTAAGATGTCCTTCCTCATTCTGCTGCTGCACCTCATCTAACTCCCTCCACAATTCTTCCAATCTCACTCTATTATTCTCAAGGTTTAATTCAAATCATCAAACTTAGTGCATTATCTAATGACCACTCCAAGGAACATAGACCTGTCTGTTTCAGATAATTAAATGCTAAAAAAAAGTCTCGGACGCTCCATTGAGATATAAGAGGAAAATATCGAATGGCTTATCCTTTCAAGAGTCGAGCCTTCAAGTTTTCTTCATTAGGAACGCCTGAGAAGAATATTGGTTTTCCAATCAAATGACTCGCATTGTTGGGC